CCGCCGCGCCACAGCCCCCGCGCGCAGGCCCGGGCCGCCGGGAGCGAGGCCAAACCAGGCACCCAGGCTGCCCTCGGGCCCGCGCCCCGCCCCGCGCCCGCCACGGCCCCCTCCCCGCGGAATCCAGTCAGGCGTTCGCGGTTTCCAGGTTTGGACATTTAACCTTTAATCGGCCAGCCCCAAAGTAAATGTTTGCTGTGGCTTCAGGGTCCGGCCAGCAGCGCAGCCCGGAAATCTCCGGGGGGTGGGGGTTGGGCAGGGCTGGGCGCACGGCTGCCGGGATCTCCTGGAATGCAGGGGTGGGTGGAGGAAGGGGCGACGCGTGCGTGCGTGCGGGGCTGTGTTGGCGCCTGAACGACAGCTGTGCCCAGGAGCGAACGTGAGCCTGAATGGAGCGACGCGTGCGTGCGTGCGTAAGCGACAGAAGGGCTGAATGCTGGTTTGCATCAATGAGGCCCTGAATGCCTTCGCTTGGGATCCGAGGAGCTGAGCGCAGGCAGAAGACAATGCGTGCGTTTGTAAATCTAAGCACGGATGGACGCCTCACTGCGTCAAAATAAAAATAAATAACTGGATGCATGTTGAACCAAGGCCCAACTCTGAGCAAGCAAGTGAGTTGAACGCATGAACGGGTGGCCACCCCGAACCTTCTGTGCCTGGTTAGCGGCCCTCAAACCTCCTGATCTGGTAGAGAAATCGCCAAGGAGAAGGCATGAGGGGCCCCGAGGAGGCTTCTGGCATCCTGAACAGACATTTTAAGCAACAGAAAGATGCAGCTTGGATGGAGTTGTTAGGCAGGGAACGCGTGAGCCATGGAGAGTCACAGAGGGAGAGAGGACTCAGCTTCAGCTGCTGGTGAAGCAGAGTATAAGAAGCGGTGGGTGCCAGTTCTTTCAGCTCTTTTTTGCACTTTGTTGTGGGTTCAAGTGCCCAATCCAGGGGCTATGGGTTAGCAGAGAGGGGGTGACATTTCTGTGGTTCGGGAGCCATACACAAATGTCATTTGGAGGAGAGAGGTACACCAGAGAGGGTCATGCCCTGCTAAACCATGGTACCACCGCAGCAGCTTCACCTCAGTCTCCCCCCGCCCCCCGCCCCATTAACACCTTGAGTGAAAACTTCAGCAAAGTTAAAAAGGCGAACGGTATCTTACTATTATTACAAAAGTGGTTCAGGGACCTAAAAAGCCTTCTCTGGGTCTCAGGAACACACACTCCCCCCACCCCACACACACGCATTCACACACAGTTCCATATCCCGCACTTGGAAAACCAATGTAATTTATTTATTTATTTATTTTTATTTTTATTTTTTTTTGAGACAGAGCCTCAAGCTGTCCCCCTGGGTAGAGTGCCGTGGCATCACAGCTCACAGCAACCTCCAACTCCTGGGCTCAAGCGAGTCTCCT